AGCCAAGTGCTGTTTTCAATACACTGACTTCTGTTTCTCTGTCTTCAAGATGTGAACCCGGAGACCGGATTGAGCAGGAGGAAGAACCAGACTTCTATTGGTAGAGCTGTGGGAAAGGAAGATGGGGTAGTTGGGTGTGAGTATGTTTCCTTTATTAACACGAGACAACACTCCACATGCACACACACACGCATTTCTATCTTTCGCCTATTTCACTCTGCTTTGAGGGTCCATTTAACATTAATCGTAGCCAGCAACACTGAAAAAATTGTCACTTTGGACCTTTACTCTTAAATTCTCCCAAAAAAGTAACCGACTGCTTAAATTCCACATTGTTATCTGCTTCGTAATGTATTTGTAGAGTTGAACGCCAAATTGTCCAAAAATTGTAGCTTTGTACCTTAAACACTTAAATTTCCCTGTCAAAAAACTGTGTCTTTGCCCGACCGCATTAATTTTGTGCTGATTCATTTTTAAGTTTGATTTTCCCGCCCAAAAAAAAAATCACAGGACTCTCACCTGTTTAATTAATTGGATTAAGTTTTCCCGCCAAAAAACTTAGTATATAGAGCACTCTAACCTTGAACTTGTGCGCCCCCCTCCCACTCTTCCTGCCCCCTCCACGCCTACCTTCTCTCAAAGTATGTTAGTTACACTGTTCCAACACTTATTTGAACATGTAGTGACCACACTGCTACACAAATGCTTGGTTGATCGAGTGCAGTTCTTCCCTCACATTAGACTTTAGAATAATCTCTTGCTCTCCTGGTCAGTCAATTGCACTGGTATACTGATGTGTCGAAGCATCAATGTCTCCGGAAAGACATCCCACGGGGAGTACACTTAGTGCATTGACCGATCAGAAGAGCATTAAAGATTATTCTAAAGTCTAATGTGGTGGAAGAACTGCACTTGCGTAGCAGTGTGGTGACTACATGTTCAAATAAGTGTTGGAACAGTGTAACTAACATACTTTGAGAGAAGGTAGGGGGGCAGGAAGAGTGGGAGGGGGGTGCACAAGTTCAAGGTTAGAGTGCTCTATATACTTAAGTTTTTTGGACGGGAAAACTTAATCCAATTAATTAAACAGGTGAGTTTCCTGTG